GCTGGCGAAACGTTAGGAAACACAACTTCCAGAACACGGCCACACAGCCTGGAAGACCCACACCAGCCATCTGGCATTTTGTTTGGAAGCTTTTATCTTCAAGCCTTTTATTTTGACCCCAAATGTTGCACCATTTCATTGTTACTAGTTCAACAGAAGAGCACATAGTTTGCATGCAAATGGTTTTAGATTCCATTCTTAGCTTCGCTGGTAGAAAATATTTGGTAGTTGATGCCAAAAATTTTAGAGAATAATAGCAGCCATAGTAGATCGTAAGATAGATAGATGAACTAGGTGTTTAGGAGCTTGTTTCTAAGTGCTGGTGGCCTAATCAGATATAGGCAATTTTGACCATTCATACCAGTATCTGTGTGAGATGGTCAGCTATATAAATATGACAAATAAAATAAATAAATAAATAATCTGACCTTGAGGTTGAGTTCATACAATGAATTAAAGTTTTATTAAAATTAAGTTCATTAAAATTAAAACAGATAAGTTAAGGACCTTGCAATTGCCTTTGTTTGCCTCAACACAGTAAAAGCATGGTTAATTGTAATCTTAATGTGTTTTTGTGGCTTAGTAAGTTGCGCAGATCCAGCTTGGATCGTCTGCCCTGTTTGTTGTTTGCTTTTCCCATCATAATGAGGTAGTGGTCACTAGATCAGCCTCCCCCCAACCACATGCTCTCTAAAGGTATTGGGAATCCAATTCTTAGAACTTTGAACCAGCCTAGCCAAGAGAGCCAGTGCAGTTAGTGGTTAAGGTATTAAACATGGACCTCCCTCCTAGTTCAAGTCACTTGTCACCCTGAAAACCCCATGGGCCAGTCATAGAATGTAATGGAAAGAAGTATCATGGAGATCATCTAGTCCAGGGGTTTTCAAACTTTTTCAAGCCATGGAACCTGTTAGTTTAAAAAAAAAAAAATTCCCAGAACCCCTGATGAAGAAGCAAAGCTCTATTTGTAGAAAATTAGCTGGGTTCAAGTGAGGTTTTTTCCCCTTAGGCTCGTACAGAATCCTGATGGGATTCTTGTGGAACCCTAATTTAGTCAACCCTCGTTTAATGCAGGCATCTACTACTATAGCCATCCCAATAGATGGTGATCCTCTGTTTTTTTTTAAATACCTCCAGTAAAGGAGAGCCCATCATATCCTGAAGCAGTCTGTTCCATTGTTAAACAGCTCTTACCACTGGGAAGTTTTCCTTGATGTTCAGATGAAATCTGTTTCCATGTAATTTAAACCATTAGGAACAATTCTGCCCATCTTCTACATGACACCCTGTTACTTGAAAAAAGCTGCATATACAGTGCTTTCAACCATCTTCAATAGTGTTTTTTTTTTTTTTAAATTCCAGGCCTGTTATTATCTTGGTTGCCCTCTTCTGGATATGCCCTGGTTTGTCAGTGTCCTTCCCAAAATGATATGCCAAGAACTGGATTCAATATTATTGGTGTGATCTTTTTTTTTATAGTAATTTTATTAAAAATTATAATTGCAATAATCAAAACTAATGCAAACTAAAAAAAAATAAAAGAATAAAAAGAAAAAATAGAAGGTGCAGAAAGGAAAAAAAGAAATAGAAAGAAAAATAGAAAAGAAAAAAATATATAGTAAAGAAAAAGAAAAGAAATATATAAAGAAATGACTTCCCCCTTCTTGACAACAAGTATAAACAATTTTATAATGTATCACCTTCTCTTAAAATACAACAAATGATCTCTTCTTCCCTTATCCCATCTCTTATCTATAAACAAATCCTTAAAGCCTCATCATTTCGGTCCTGATGTCAGCAAAAGTCCATTAAGGGTTACCAGAGATAACAACATATCTATTATAACCTTAATTAAATAAACCAACTTGATATTCCTTCCTTTTACTTCTAACAAACTTGATCTATTCAAATAATATCCTAGAGCTTTCTTTTCATTTTTTCTTTGCCCCTTCTCACCGAATTCTTCAAAGCTTTAACAAGCCTCTTTTGTAAATCCAATATAAGAAAACTATCCAGGTCACTCTCTTGGTTTGTTATTTGTATATTCCTTTTAGTTATTAAGACATCAGCCAGTTTCCCCAACTTTAAAAATTGGGAAAAAGATGGTGATATGGAAAAATTGGATGGAAGCAGCGATATTGACTTTGGACGAACTGATAGATGATGAAGATGAATTTTTAACATACTCTGTGTTAAGAGATAAGTATCATCTATCAGAAGCAACCCAATGGCTATATTTACAGCTACAACATTTATTAACAACATTGTTTGGACTAGCAGCATTTTAAAGCTTCTGAGATATTAGAACAACGGGTTAAATCCTTTAAAACTAAAAAACCTACTATTAATGTATATAGATATTTGTTATCAATAAATCAGTTTGATATACAGATGTTAAGAGATGAGTGGAATAAAGAATTAGAGGTTCTCATATTGCCTAGACAATGGGAGAGTGTCTTAACTTCTATAGCAAGAGTGTCAATGGACTATAAACTACGACTTATACAACAAAAAATAATATTTAGAATGTATTGGACTCCACTAGGTGTGTATAGAAAAGGATTGTCAAAAACTGCATTTTGTTGGAGATGTAATAAGGACAATGCCTCCTTAAAGGATATGTTTTTACAATGTCCTATATTTACTAAATTTCCCGAGAAAGTAGTGGACTTTATAAATATAATTGTATGACAAAAGCTAAAATTTTCAGAGTATAATATTCTTTTGAACTATATACCTAGTACATGGAATTTGACATCTCAACAACATAAGTGGATTCTCTGTGCTCTTACTATAGCCAAAAGATTGATATTGCAGCATTGGAAAGATAAATGTATGACCCCATATATTCACTGGATTGAAGACCTGATTGCGCTCGCCACTTATGAGCAGATTGCCTATAGACATAGACTGTATGGACAAGTATAATGAAATATGGGATTCATTTATACAAAATACAATAGGTTAAAAAACAGTCATATAAATCTATTAGAAATATATATGTACTTGAATAATATTTGAATTGGGGACGCGGTGGCGCAGCGGCTTAATGACGCTGAAAGTTGCCGGCCAGAAATGGTCAACG